AAAATTAATAAATTTGTGCTAATATAATAATATAACACTAATCTTAAAAAAATAATTTTTTTATATTCAGCTAAAATTAATATAAATTCACTGCTAAAATACTCAATACTAAACCCAAAAACTAACTCTGATTCTACTTCAATAAAATCTATAGGATTACAATTTAATTCAATCAAAATCCTATATCCGTCGCATAGCACACGCTTGTAGTGCTCTAATAAATAATATATAATACACAAATTGTTTTTACAAATTTCTAGATATATATAGCATTTAAATTTTGAGAAAGATTTTTCATAATGTATTTATGCGAAAATATCAATTAATATATAACGCATCATATTTAAAAAGCGCGTATATATCGTCTCTCTCTTTTACATTATATAATTATAGGTACATAGTTGCTCGATTGTATATGCATATATAGTTATTTTGTTGTATTTAACGCACATAAGTGCAAATTTATTTGGCTACTTTTAAGCAATAAGAAAATTGATCAAAAAATGACTAAAGCACATTTTCAAAATACAGATTATTTATTTATTAATGCTTGAATTTTATATACGTTAATATGATAAAATTAAAAAAATTTAAGATATACATATATTGTGTGATATAAACTTTCAATAAACACAAGAATATAATAGAATTTATAATTCATCTTTCAGAAATATAAATTCTGGTGCTCGCACGGTTCCAGCAAACATTATCTCTCCGTATACTTCGATATAGTAATGAAACGGACGATCTACGACCAACTCTTGCAGTGGATCTACCGGTTCTCTTATCTCGCTTTCGTCAACTGTAATCAAAATTTTTTTTATTGCAATGCTTATACACACAGTATTCACCTAAAGTTTTCTATTACTCACAAATGTTATCATTTGGAGCTTCCGAACCTTCTCCGTTAATTTTCACGGAAACCGTTTGAACGATATTGTTCACTTTTAGAGGAATTTCTGAGAGACGTGTAAAATCCGCATTATTCTCGAACATCGTAGTAACGCCCATCTACAAGCAATTATCAGTTTTAATTTCTAGATTTTATCCAAAATCTCTTATATATCAGTTGTAAACAGATTATGTTAATTACACAATACTTACCATACGAAAAAAAATCTGTCATATTTTCATGATATACAGTCATAAACTTAGGTAAATATAGATCCATATCTTGCTTAAATCTGTTTGTGTATGCAGTTCTAATTGATTCAAATTCGAAAAAGTTAA